CCCCCACCCCCACCCCCGCAGGGATTGCCTAAACCTCCCAGGAGGTATTTCAGGCTTGTCTTGCTGCTTGCTCTCTGGTCCACACTCCCCACCCCCACAGCCATCCTGCTTCACAAACAGTATGGGAAAAAGTGGAACTCTGTCTTCCCTATAAAGCTCATATTACAGTACCTAGCACGAAGTAAGCTCTACAAGTGGTCATCAGGGTGGCTGCTATCATTCATTACTTGTTGGACACACTGGCCATCTGCATAGGTCCACCGCAGCCCCGTCCCCACTTTTCTCGAGTGCTCCCTTGCATGAATAGTGGTGATTCCAGCTACAACGGGTGCGTCCCCCAAAAATCTACAAAAAGGACAAGTCAGGAATCCTAGACCCGGACCCTAATCCTGGAGGCTCAGATTGGAGGTCCCTTCGCGAGGAAGCGGTTGGGGCACAGACCGCGGGGGTGGGGCTAAGGGGCGCCCTCCGGGGCCATCCTGACCTTAAGCTCCTCCTCCTGCCGGGTTCCCCGCCCTTTGCACAGTCCGGGGAGAGGCGGGGCGCCTGTGGTGGCTGCGAAGTGCAGGAAGCCCGGGCGGCGGCCGGCTGGGAGGAGGAGGAGCGTGCAGACTTGGGTGGCTTAGCGCGGCGGGGGCCAGTACTACTTCCCCCACTAGCACTGCGCCGCTCCGCCCCGGAGTGACGCCCTCTGCCCATGGGCCGGGCGGGGGGCAACCGGCGGGCGGCGCGGAGGAGGCGGCCGCGGCAGGTGGCGCACAGCAGGGCCGGAGCCGGGCCGGGCCATGGCCGCCTCGGAGCGGCTCTACGAGTTGTGGCTGCTCTACTACGCGCAGGTGAGCCTGCCCCCTCCCCCGCACCCGCTGTGCCCCTAGCTCCGCGCGCCCCGCTCCGGCTGCACCTGCGCCCCGCGCCACCCTGGCGGCTTAGATGTGCGCGTGGGGGGCATGTTTGGGCTCCGCACACAAGTGCGCCCCAGGCACCTATACCTGGGGAACTACCCATATAGACACGTACCTCACAAGACTCTTTCAGGTGGAGACCCGCTGCCTCAGTCATGGGCCGGAAAAGGGACTGGCCCAAACCTGAACCTAGTGCGTGGCCAGGCATTGCCCCTTTTTCCCATGGGGAAACTGAGGCCACGGAGGAGGAGAGAAGGAGACAAGGGAGGAAAGCTTAGTTTACATTTGGGCTTATATTTCCTGTGGGTGCGACCGTGTTGGGTGGTCCAGGCACACAGGTCTGAGTGGTCTGGGGGTTCAGGTCGGGCGCAGGAGTTTGGGAGCATCTTACTCAGTTCCTACTTGAGTCTATGCAGATAAGTGTCGGGGGCTGGGTGACCCAGGGTCCTGCTAGAAGAAAAGTTTTGCCTTGAATCCCTCGACTGGGCTCAGGGAGTCAGCTAAGGGATGCTCCAGAGGGATGGAGTGACAGCCTTTCCTCCAGAGCTCCCTGCCCTGTCTCAGAAACCACGTCAAGGGGACAGTTAGGAGCTGACTCTTCACTGCGTGCTGAGAACTGGTGTACTCCAAACTCTGTCACACACACACATTGGCCCCCACTTGCCTTCTGTGCCCAGTGCAGAGAGGGACCCCAGGTAATGCCCCCTCCCCTTAACCCAGGCCAGCCTCCCTCCTGCACCTGCCTGGCATAGTGCTCCTGGGTCAGGTGTGCCCTGGGCACAATGAACTATTGTATGCCCCTGATTGTCACTGGGGGGAAGTTCAAGCTCAGATCAGCTGGCCTCTGTAAAGAAGCTGGCCAGCTGTCCCCCGGCCTGCAGGTCAGGTTGAGGGCCCCAGGGACCTAGAAAGCTGGGCTATAATGGCGTCAGCTTCTTGAATTGGCTTAGTCCAGGGGCCTGGACCTCTTTGGTATGACCCAGTGTGTGACCTCTCAACTTCTGCTTCCCCGTCTGTAAATGTGGCGTAGCCCTGGCCCCAGAGGTGGCCTGAACTCTGCATGGGGGGGTCTGGGGGGGGGCGGGGAGGCACTGTCTAACTGATCCAGGTCAGGCTCTGCTTCCCTGGCCCCCATCTGGTCCTTCACCCCAGCTTCTTGCTTCCATCTCCAAGAGTTGGTCCTTGTGACAAAGCAAAAGATTTGAGGAGACCTGCTGGCCCACCTGTTTCTTATTGTCACTGTAACTGTAGACAGGTTCTTGGTCCTCAGTTTCTTCACCCGTGACCAGATAAATGGAGGGCTGGGACCAGGTGATGAGTGAGGAATGCTGATGGTGGGTCTTCAGGCTGGGTGACATGCTGCTGGGCTGGTATAGCCTCCCCGTGTGTGTGGCTGCATCCTAGAACCTCAGACTGAGCTCTGCAAGTGTTGAGTCCCCTGTTTGCTCAAGAGGTGCTAAACCCTCATCTGTGCTGTGGTCCTGTGCTCCCACCCCCCAGCTCCTCGCTTCACAGGGCAGTTATGGGGCACAGACTGGTTGTGGCCTTGGAAGCCAGGACAGGCAGGGGGCAGCGTGGGGACAGGCAAACAAATCCAGGATGTGAGAGCCAGGCGGGGCCAGGCTGCCTGGGGAGAGGAAGGCCTTCCTGCCTGCTTGCTCCTGCTCCTGCTCCTGCTCTCAGAACGGAACATGGTCCCCACCCCTCGGTGCTGGGCTTCCAGGGAGGGGTGGCTGTGCTACCTTGAACCCTACTGGAGACCTGTGGTGTGTGTGTGTGTGTGTGTGGTTACAATAGGGCTAAGCTAAAACAAGGAGTTGAACTAATAAAGGTGTGAAGAGACCCCTGGGTCAGCCAGCCACAAGGTACCCCATC